ACCCTGAAGAACTTTGGTAGTTTCTGAGTTAACCTGAGGTGAGCTTCTGAGTTAACCTAAGTATCTGAGTTAACCTGAAGTGAGCTTGGAAGAACTTTCTAAATTTCACTTATTTAAGTTCAAAGAACATTTTACTGATGTGCATGGAATTATCCTTCGGAAAACCAGTCTGCTGATGGGTTCAATTTAAAGTGATCATTTTGAAAAGTTGGCCAACTCTACTGTAGGATGCACACTTACCTGAAAGTTAACCCCATTGAATATAATCATCATTCTCATCTATTTATAAAGCACTGTGAGCCCACAAGTGCATTTAGGTGGGGCTGCCCCTGAAGATGGGTCAGAAACTTCAGCTGGTAAAGAATTCAGCAGCCTGGATACTCAATGGGGCAAGATGGTCTGAGCATATAACGCCCATCCTGTTCCAACTGCAATGGCTGCCAATTTGTTCCTGGGCTCCATTCAAAGAGCTGGGTTTGACCTCTGAAGTAGCTCAGGACTGCAATACCTAAGGACCACCTCTCCCCATATGAACCTACCTAGATCCTGCAATCATCACCTGAGGCCCTTCTTTGTGTGCCTCCTCCATGAGAGATCCAGAGGGCAGCAATACAAGAATGGGCCTTTTCTACCGTGGCTCCCCACTTGTGGAATGCTCTCCCCATGGAGGTTCACCTGGTGCCTTCATTGCATATCTTTAGGTACTAGGCAAAAACATTCCTGTTCTCCCAGACCTTTGGCTAATTAAACAATCTATGGCCTTTTAAATGGGGGAGGGGGATTGTTTTTGTTTGCTATCGTGGTATGTATTTTTGTGTTTTTTATATTGTAAACTGTGGATGAATGGGGTATAGAAATTATTATTACTACTATTATTACTACTAGTACTACTACTTGGCTGGATGAAGAAGAAGAAGAAGAAATTTCACTGCAAGATATGGGAAACAGAATATTGAAGGATGGCTGTGTTTCCATTCACATCTTCTTTCAAAAAGTACAAATTAATTGACTTGTCTTTAAATGTGAACCAAACTGAATTTCTCTCCTATCCCTGCTATTCTGATCTCCAACTAACATTTACCTGCGGTGTAATCCTAGACATATCTGCTCAAGAATAAGCCCTATTGAGTTCAGTGGAACTTATTTCCAGGTCAGTGGTTGCAGCCTTTATCAGCCAGTTCCTTCAAATTCAGATGGATCTAGTAGGAGGAAAAAGGCACCTCAATTCCATTATCTTCTCATATGTTATAAAAAAAGGGGGGAATGCATGATTTGAAGAAGATTGAACTGCAGGTTGCGAAGCCACATGCCCATGTGCAAAGGATTGACCATGTTGCTTGCACTGCCGACCTCAATATGATGAGCTGTTCTTTGTTAGTATAAAAAGTGTACCAGTTTCTATGTAATATATTATAGGGTTGCATTTGGCTGTTCACCAAATGACCTTCTAAACTAGCAGAGGGACTAGGTAAGGCATTTCTAACAGAGATAGGAAAATATCATTACTCTTGTATAGACTGTATGCAGTCAATGTACTCTCTGGAGTGTCTATGCATAAGCCTCACTGGTGACTGACAACCCCAGCCTGGTCTTGGATATATGGGTACAGTATTGCAGCTTTATACAATAATAATAAAAAAGTATTTCTCTTTGGCTTTAATACAGAAAGTTCTCCTACCTTCTGAGTAATCAGTTCATGCGTGTTGTAATGAAACATGGGTAGCCAACCTAAGGGCCGGGGGCCGGATCCGGCCCAATCTCCTTCTAAATCCAGCCTGCGGACAGCCCGGGAAACAGCATGTTTTTACATAAGAAGAATGTTTCCTTTTATTTAAAATGCATCTCTGGGTTATTTGTGGGGCATAGGAATTCGTTCTTCTTCTTTTTTTCAAAATATAGTCTGCCCCCCCCCCAAGGTCTGAGGGACAGTGGACCAGCCCCCTACTGAAAAAGTTTGCTGACCCCTGTATTGAACTAATCTTACTATAGCCCATGCTTAACCATCGCCTTCTGGTTGGATGCAATTTGTTAAAAGATTCCCCGCCAACACATATCAATGAAGGTTGATCCATAAGGGTAAATGGGGGGTGTTTCCCCACCAACTTCAGTCTGCCCTCTGCCAGGCCCCACTTGCCTGCCTTCCTACTTGCAGTCCGAGGATGGCACGGCCTGTCAGCTGCCCCTGCCTTAGTCTCAGTGTTGCCCTTGTACAATTCTGCAGGGAAGAGGATGAAAACCAAACCAGATCTACTTGGTTGTCATTGGCTCTGGTTCCGTCTGCTGTTGGCCTTCCACCCTACCAGTCCCAATGGGTGCCAGTCTCCGTTGTGATTTATTGTATGCCAAATTCTATTTCTGCACTATTATCCAGGCTTGATGTATCCGGATATCAAGTGTGTGTGCTGGGAAAATGTGATGCCTCTGTGGTGGAAGCTCTCTCTTGACAGAAGACATGCAGAATGTGTGCAGCAAATGAGAAACAAATGTGGATGTGGAATACAATTCATTAGTTGTGTGGAAAGACTCTCATCCTTCTGGGATTAGTTTGATCCAAGACAAGCATTATTTCAAATGAGGACCTTTCTCTTGTTAATGTAGAAGTTGAGAGAGTATGGCGGCAAAAAAGATAATTGCTTTTCTCATTTTGTCTAAAAGTAATGTTGTTTACATATATTTTCTTTTTTTGAGCTGTTAATATACAGTAAGTGAGATTGTTCAAAACTTGGAACAAAAGAAAAATTAAAATTAATCTAGCCTCGCATTTCAGCCTTGCAAAGTCAATCAAAAAGACAATCGGAACATATTGCATTTTGCAAGAGAGAGAGAGAGAGAGAGAGAGAGAGAGAGAGAGAGAGAGACTGAAGAATTTCCTTGCTTATTTATCTTGCATACAAAGATTGGAATTGAACAAGAACATGAATCGCACTGATAGCTACATGTAAAACAACTTGTAGAAATGTAGGCAGGGGAAAGATGCAAGAGGGAAATACAGGGGAAAACAATTAAGTTTGTACAAATCAGTAAACAGCAGCGATAGAAATAAAAATCTGAGAGAAATCAGAAGAGACAGAGAAGCAAACAAACAAAGGGAGGGGGAAACAGCAATTGCAAAATACACAGGGGCTCAGAAGTACTTTTCAAAACTCTGAAAGTAAAGAAAGAGTTTTGTATTCTTTCCATGGGAAATCCATTTTAGAAATGGAGTGGAAATTTAATTTGAGGCTATGGATTCCCCTCCAAGTGGCTGGTCAATACCAAGGTCTGCTTTTCAATGCCTTGCCTTGCCTGCTAACCACACCTAGGTCACATACAGTCATGGCTTCCCCCAAATAATATTGGCATCTGTTTGTTAAGGTTGCTAAGAGTTGTTAGGATACCCCAATTCCACTTTCACAGCTGCAGTTCCCAGAGTGTCTTAACAACCTATTCCTCTCCATAGGAAACTCTGGGAATTGCAGCTTTGTGAAATGAATAAGGTTCTCCTAACAATTTGTAGCACCCTTAACAAACTAAAAGTCCCAAAATTATTTGGGGGAAGCCATGCCTGTTTAAAGCGGTATGATACTGCTTTAAACAAATGGTGTAGATGTTGCCTTTTTCAATTGGAATGCTCATGGAATAGCCAGGAAATCAGAAACTTTCAAGAATTTAGGATAGACCAGGTGTGTCCAACCAGTCGATCGCGATCTACTGGTCATTCGTGGGGCGTCCCTGGTCGATTCTGGTTGATTGCATGATCCAGATCGATCCCCCCCTCCCAAGAAAAACACCAACTTTGATGAAGTCTTCTCCAAAAAAAGCTTTTATATAGTGGGAGTAGATTGCAGTCTCTTGGGAATTGGACATGCCTGGGATAGACCATGATTTAAATACACCCATGAAGCTTGGGATCTCTCCAGTAGATTTATAGATTAGGTTGGAGAAATTTAATTGGATAAACTTAGCACAGGAGGGCTTGATGGTGGTTTTTCGAGGACAGGTATTGCAACAGTACAAAACATACCTTCCATCCTCTGAGCCTTTATGTAGCACAAACCAATAAATCTCCCAGGGCTTCTAAAGTAGAGACTTTCTCTAGTTTTGCATCATTCACTAAACAGACAACGTAATTGATTTACAGTGGTACCTCAGGTTAAGAACTTAATTCGTTCTGGAGGTCCGTTCTTAACCTGAAACTGTTCTTAACCTGAGGTACCACTTTAGCTAATGGGGCCTCCTGCTGCTGCCGTGCCGCCGTGGCGCGATTTCTGTTCTCATCCTGAATCAAAGTTCTTAACCTGAGGTACTATTTCTGGGTTAGTGGAGTCTGTAACCTGAAGCGTCTGTAACCCAAGGTACCACTGTATTCTAAAGTCACAAGCAGAAGGACCACTTTTGATTGTGTGGATCAGCCCTTATACTCCCTAGCTGGTTTTCATAACCTTTTCTTGCCAGTTGTTTATGACTCCAGGTCCCTCCTCCCTCAAGTGTTGCTCTCTGCCCTTCACCAGGTTTCCAGATCAGTCCCACAGATGGGAAAGTGTCTTTGAGAGGTAATATTCTCTTTTATCTGATTATCTGATAATTGACTATTTTTTTGCCCCAGAGGACTGGATGGTGTTTTGACAAGGACAATGGGATACTGTACCCATTTATTTCCATTGAAATGTCATATATCCATAAAAGGATTCTAAAAATGATTTGATGTTTGACATGTGGAGTGCCAAGCTGACACTGAGTAATTTTTCACTTTGCTTCTTGTCTGTTCACTGATTGTAACACTGCTGACCGAATGGACATTGCCCTTGACAATTAACTGAGCTGTAAGCAAAATGAAGAGATTTTTTTTTTTAATGGGGCCCAAGATGCAATTTATTGCAAAATGCTTTTACAGATACTGGTGGAATTACATGGTGTGTGGCCTTAAATGCTCCTGAGGACTCAGGAGTCTGGAGGCCACATTTTGTACAAAATGCATTCGGAGGTGGAGGTCTTTTCGTACAATTTTGACAACGGGCCACTTAGATGATACCAATCTTGTTGGCAACATCTAGCACATCATAGTCTGGAGCAAGGCAGACATAGGCTTTCTTCTCACCGTCAGACCTGATGAGCCAGTTGACCTTTGCCATGTCAATGTTGTAGAGTTTTTTGACAGCCTGCTTAATATGGCACTTGTTTGCTTTCATGTCCACAATGAACACGAGGGTATTGTTGTTTTCAATCTTCTTCATGGACAATTCAGTGGTCAGGGGGACCTTGATGATGACATAGTGGTCCAGCTAGTTCCTCCTTGGGATACTTGGGCTGCCTCCGTAAACGCAAGATTTTCAGTCTTTGGAAGGTAGGGGATATCCAGATCTTCTTCTTCTTCTTCTTCTTCTTCTTCTTCTTCTTCTGACTGTGGACGCCTTTCAGGACTGCTTTTTAGCTTTCAAGGCTTTGGATTTCACCTCGGACAGCCTCCTCCTTCACTTTCAGCACCATTTTGGAAAGGAAGGCGAAAACGGAGCTGAAGTGAAGAGATTTTCAAACAAGAGTGGTGGTATGTCATAGGTTTTAAGATATCGGTCTCTTGGTTCACTTAATCCTTCAAACCATTTTCTCTTGAAACACGTTGCATATTTATTTGTTTGAGGTATTGTAATGTACTCTACCCTTCTCTCAAGAGACAATAATATTAAAACCCAAGTAACTATAAAAATAGTATATAGCAAATATGATAAAATTAATGAATCTCATCAGAGTAAGAGAAGGGAGGTAGGTTGGTGGCCCTTGTGTATTTTTTGGGATTTTTTATTTTTAAAATTGAAGAAGAAGAAGAAGAAGAGTTTGGATTTGATATCCCGCCTTTCACTCCCCTTCAGGAGTCTCAAAGCAGCTAACATTCTCCTTTCCCTTCCTCCCCCACAACAAACACTCTGTGAGGTGAGTGGGGCTGAGAGACTTCAGAGAAGTGTGACTGGCCCAAGGTCACCCAGCAGCTGCATGTGGAGGAGCGGAGACGTGAACCCGGTTCCCCAGATTACGAGACTACCACTCTTAACCACTACACCACACTGGCTCTCGAAGTATTTAGAAAGAGATAGGCGTGTGAGGGAGAGTGGGGTGATTGTTATGTATGTGTGGTGTGTATGAAAAAGGTTGAGGTATGTTATCTGGGGTGGTCAGAAAGAGGGATGCTCTTGGAGAAACGGGGGGTGGGGAGAGATGTGTCACTGTGTATATGTGAAACGTATGACTGGATATGTGACAGAGATATGTATGTGTGTCTGTGGTCTGTATGTGTGCAGTGAGTGTGCTATGTGTGTGTGAGAGAGTATGGTGTACCTACATTATCTATCTATCTATCTATCTATCATCTATCTATCTATCTATCATCTATCTATTTATCTAACTATCTATTTTCTGGTTCTGTGGAATGCTCCCTGTTATGAAATAGCAATGGCACCATTGTCTGTGAAATCTATTTTATGTGTGCTCTACCATCAGGACCCACAAGATATAGGTGACTTCCCACAGCAAGCATGAGGTTGTTGGGTGGGGGGAGCAGCAGTGACTGTGTTCTCAGGTGCAGATCTACTATGAAACTAATGAAGCTTAACCTTCAGGGCCCCTAATCTTGAAGCGGTCCCAGAAGTGACTTTAATCCACATTGCTTAAAATTTTGGGGTCTAATAGACCCAGTTGGAGTCACACAACTCAAATGGATTATTTTTGTTGCTGTTGTATATATTTCAACAATCCTAAAGTTTGAGAGTCAATAGCATAGATGTAAAGGTGTGGTGATCTGTCGTGGAACAACCCCATTGTAGATGACAGCAGTGGCTACCCAAGACATCATTTCTGGTTGCAAAGGGGCCCCCATAATGGTTTGAGCTTCAGCCCCCAAAAAGTAGGCTCACCATTGTGTATTCTGTCATTTGTGTTGTGCCTTGCCCCTGTGGCAGCCATTTTGTGACTGGCACCCACGGCATTTTTTCAAAGTGCTAATGAAGTCCACTAGCTCAAAAAGGTTGGTGTAGAGCTTTACTTTAATATAATTACTTCATGTATAGGTGAACATATAATTACATACTCATTCCTCAACTGTAGGAAATTATGTTCTACCATTTCTCTGATGAAAACAGGGACGTCCCATTCCATAATGATAATTTTACTATTTATACTCTACACATCTTATTGGGTTGCCTCAGCTACTGTGGACAGCTTCCAACATATATAAAAACATAACAAAACATTTTAAAATTATTTTTTTTAAAAAAAAAACCACTTCCCTATACAGGGCTGCCTTCAGATGGCTCAGGGGTCGGATAACTCCATACCCTTCAACATTTATCCAATTAAAATAGGGACATCCTAAAAGCGGGACATTCCAGGATCAGATCAGAAACTGGGACTGCTTCTCTAAATCAGGGACATCCCTGGAAAATAGGGACACTTGGAGGGTCTTTTCTCCATTTTATAGCATGATATATTCTTGCCTCTGCTTACCATGGTTTTATTTTTAATGGCATCAGCAGTCATAAGAACAAGCTTCAAACAGAATACAAGAAGAAATTGCAAAATGTTTCCAGCCACTAGAGAACATTGTCAACATTGCAAGCTTCCCAGAGACCTTATATTAAACAAGAGTTACTTTGTTGACTATACATCACTAGGAAAGAGGCGTCCCACAAACTATCCCAGCAAGTTCACAGGCCCCTATTTGAATGAGTCATGGGCTAGGCCTCTGATTAGGAGAGATTAATCACCCTTTAATATGCCACAGATACAATGCAGGGGTATTTCTCCCTTGCATGAGCAGGAGGGACCTGTTGCGTAATTCTTTAAAGCTTTCTGACATTTCCTTTAAAGTGACACTGGAATTGTCAACCTCCTCTTTCTACTCATGATAAAATTCACCTTGGGGACAGTGACTGTACCTGCGGATGGGAAAGTAGGAAAGAGGCTCTGCATGTCTTGGAGAGCCCAGAGAGAGAGAGAGAGAGAGAGAGAGAGAGAGAGGGAGTCTAAGAGGACAGTTTTTGTGCCATGATAACTTTTTCTCAAACACGCTTTCACAGGCTCCATGCCGTGCAGATGGATTCTAGTGAGTGTCATTTTTTCCTATCAAATAAAATAGAGCCTGTAGTGCAGCTGTGATCTGATGTGTCTTTTTGCAAAGGCATTTCCACACACGGCTAAACACAGTCTCCCTCCTCTTCCCCTGCATCTGTAAGGCAAATGTAAAACCTTCACAAGATAGAATATACATATTTTTCCTCCTTTCTGTCTTCTATGAATAATATTCATGGAATGTCACATTCAGATAACACAGCCAGCCTCAAATTGCTTTAGTGTCATATGTGTGACATTAGAATTATATCCCCCCAGGGCTGCCTTAAGCATATGCGGCACCGGGGTGCAAAGATCTGCCCAGCGCCCCCCCCCCAAGTTGCCCAGTCTCAGGTGTGCAGGAGGGCGGAGCCGACCGGCCACCTCAGCGTCTTGCTGGCTCGGTTGCCCCCAAACTCACAGCACAGAGCTGCCCACAGCAGAAGAGCCCGTCATGGTGCTCCAACCAATGGGTGGGCTCTTCCCCAGACTCAACTCTCACCCCTGAGAGCCCGGTGCCCGGGTGCCCCGCACCCCTAGCGCCTATGGGTAAGCCGGCCCTGTTCCCACCTTTCCTCAAGGTGGTGTGCATGGTTCTTCCCTCCCCATTTTATCCTACCCTGTGAGGGAGATTAGGCTGAGAAACAGTGACTGGCACAAGATCACCCAGTGATCTTCATAGTGGAGCAGGGATTTAAACACTGATCTCTTTGGTACTAGTCTAAAACTAACCACTACACCATGCTGGCTCTCTGTGGTGAAGAAGTAGCTGGGGCTAGCTGGCAAGAGCAGTGATGATGATGATTAACAAAAATACATGCATTGTCTCTTTTTCAGGTTGTGCTTTTTACAGATCAATTACATAAGAGCAGTAATGGGTGGGAAAGTTAGGTACCTCACTGCCTGCTGAGAGAGATGAAAGTGCCAGCCAGTGAATATGGTAGATTTTCGCTGTCTGCTGCTTTTTCGAACAGGACACCAAAGAATAGTTGTAGTAGCATAAGATAATTATTCCAGATTAGGAGGACTGACTGAGGATTCCTTGTGTGAGTACCCGCAAAATAACATATCTAAGAGAACATATATGTGGGGCTGCCTTCTATTGAGTGAGTCCATCTAATGCAGCTTTGTCTATCCTGACTGGTCATAACTCTCCAGAGTAAGCTCAGGGCCTTCTCAATACAGTGTGTGTGCTGTGCCGCTGAGCTATGCAGCGACTTCAGCAAAACAGTCTTGTTCACAGCGAAGTAAAATGTGATGTCTGACAGACTATTAAAAGCAAAATCTAGTTTACTGGAGGCCAATGGACAAGGGAAATGGTTCTTTGGAGTTCTGTTCCAGTCTTATTTGATGTAGCATTAAATTGTCCTCTGAGTGAAGCTGAAGAAAGCTGTCCTAAAAATATCTCATTTTCATCTGTTCCCTTTTGCCTATGAATTATAAAAGAGATTTGTCAATACTGAAACAAGTGGAAAGGATTAATTCAGAAAGAGGGAATGGGTTTTAAAAGAACAGCTTCATCAGGATAAGAGAGCCAGTGTGAAGTAATGGCTAGAGAGTTGGGCTAGTACCCAAGAGACCAAGGTTAGCCATGAGGCTCACAGGATGACCTTGGGACAGTCAATCAAATAGGCTCTGCCCAATCTACCTCACATTGTTGCTGTAAGGATATAATAGGGAGAATAACTATGTGCACCACCTTGAGGTCCTTGGAGGAAAGTTTGTTCATGGTGGTTACGATTTCACCAATCCGATTCCATGTAATGTTGTGCATGGAATATGTGGCAGACACTAAATAAGTGGTAAGTTCTCAAACTGCTGTCGTTTCAACCTAACTTCCTTAAATGCTGCATGGACCAATGTAGACTTTTTAATTGGCAAAGAATGGCCCAATTAATCTCAGAAAAGTCTTAAGAAAACTGTGCCGACCTGTGATTGTTCGTTACAAAGCATGCAGATGGGATCGTGACAAGCTCTACTTAATGCATCAACTCTCTGCCATAAAAGAGAAGCAAACGAATTGTTCCTGAACGGCAGCCAGCTGTTTACTATAAATACACCTTGTATTTCCCAACATGCAACTTGAAATTGAGAGACATATAATTCAAAAAGAAGCATCCTTTCACGTTCCACAGAC